TAACTACAACACCTTTCTCTTTCAAAATTATGATTTGTCAGCTTTGGAGCCTTTGAAAAACAGAAACTTGAGAGGGAGGAACAGAATCAGAAGGTCACCTGAAATACATCTGACCCTGACTTCAGGGGCCAGCGTGTCATTTGGAGTGGAGGAACTGGTGTGAACAAAGCCGCACCAGGGCACTGTCTCTAGTGCAGACCCTGAGGCCAAATATTCTAGTTTTTCAAGAGCAGCCATAAATGTGGATATCTTTCATAAATCTTGTAACTTTAAAATGTTAGCAGCTAATCAAAAACAGACCAAAAAAGACCAGATGGGTTAAATAAAATATGAAGGCTGGATTTGGGCCAAGGTCTGCCACCTTGAAATCTTCCAAGCTGAAAGTGGTTAAAAGTTAGCAATTTCCAAAAACAAAGCAGTGTGGTTTCCCCTGCAGAAGGGAAACCCATACCATCTGGATACATGTCACTTTTCTAGTACCTTTCTTCTGCATCTACAGGAGAAACACTACTCAGTTAATTTCTCTATCAGGTCATCCTGCCACCAGGTAGAAAGGGACAGGACCCTCCCTGAGGAGTCCTCAGAGGTCAGGGATAAATCTTGGAGGCCAATCCCAGTGGGCTCAGAAGAAAGTCCTGCCCAAGCAGAAAACACTACAGGCTGTAATCTCCCCCAGGATGAAAAGAGGTGAACACTCCCAGCCCTCTTTTATGGGTGCCAGTTATATCAAAAGTAGTAATAAGAAGGAAGAGATTGAAATGCCAGGACATGGAGCAGTAGCACCACCAAAATGTCTTCAAGCTTTATCACAGTTTAGTTTCTTGCACCAAGTAGGAAAACAGAGTCTTCGGAAGGCAGAGATACTAGTTACAACCCAGGAGCAGCTGAAGTGTCAGAGGTAGAATAACAAGGCCTTACCAAAAGACAAAATTAACCACAAATTTAGACTAAAGACCTTAACTGGCTTTTATTCACAATTCTAGATTCAAGCATCCCTGGGACTAGACCAGGTTCTAAGATCTTTGGCCAGCCATGTGTCAGGCAGCATTTATACAAAGAAAACAAATGAAATATAAAAACAGCTTAACTGGTTTGACTGAAAGTACTTGGTTGCTTGCCATTAACTGCAACCCAAGAATGCTGAGTGAGCCTGGAGCCTGGATTGAGATTCAGTAATTACAAAAGTATCCTCCTCAGAAAGGTGGGTTTCAGTGGGCTTCCTGTAGTAATCCAGGCTACAGCTAGCTGTATAAGCAACCAAGTACAGAAGCATCTTCCAAAAAAGTTTAGCTCATCTGTCCAGTGTCACTGTTCATTTCCGTCTACTGCAACCATGTAAGAATATGGGCCTACAGCTAACATGGTCATTCTGCATTCAGGATCCAGGCTCCTGTGTCGCTCAGCATTTGGGGTGTTTTCTTCCCCTTCACTTCCACATTAGGGCATCATTCACTAGTGGGAAAACTGAAGTGGAAGGAAGGGCACTCCTGACCCCAAAGTTGCTCATCCTTACAGTTTAGATAGGAAATACTCTAGAAGCCCCAGGTACTCAGAGGTGGAACATCGGAAGGTAACTGAATCACAGAGGAACTCACCTCCTCAGTGGCTGAACCCCCCAGTAAGTTCACAGCTGAATGTGCTGTGGGGAGGGAGTTGGGTTGGTTAAGCAGGGGCAGGCCTTGGAGGGTGGATGTAGTGTACCTCTTTCAGGGTTTCTTTCCTGCATTCTCTGCTTCTGGCTGCCATGAACTGAGTAGCCTTCCTCTGCCACGTCCTTCCACCGTGACATTTCTACCTGGGAGCTACCTGGCCGTGGGCTGAAACCTCTGAGACCTTGAGCTCAAATGAACCTTTGCTCCTTTAAGTTGCTTATGCGTGCTGTTTGGTCCCAGAAACAAAGAAGTAACTGATTCACTTCATTCTCCTCACTTCCCATTAGGAAGAATCTAGCCATGTGGGCACCCCAGCTGCAAAGAGAGTAGTAAATGTGCTACATAACTTGGACGACCATGTTAGCCAAACATTACGCCATTGACAACACCAAAGCCCAGAGGGCCAAATGCCAGCACTTAGTTACTTCTAACAGTTCTGTGATATCACAATTCAGGCAGCTGTGCCTGTGGTACTTGTGACTGCAGTTTCCTGGTGGCTGACTGGGGCAGAAGGGGGCAGTGGCCTCAAGTGTACATCTGACCACTGTGATATGCATGTGGCCTCTGCTGTCTCCTGTCAGTCACTCTCCAATGGGCTGTGTGGATCACAACATGGCAGCCTCAAGGTTCCAAGGTTCCGAGACAGGGCAGAACTGCAACACTTCTTAGGATCCAGGCTCCAGAACTCACACTTCCCCACATTCTTTGAGTCAAAGCAAGCTGCAAGACCAGCTTGGATCCAGGGAAGTAGATAAACAGGCTCCACCACTCCATGGGAACAGTAGCAATGTCACATTGCAAAGGAGCCAGGCCAGGAGGCCAAACACACAGGCAGAATAGTCATAATTATCACAGTTACTATGTAGCAGCCTAGATAATTCTACAACAATCTATTACAATTCTAGTACAAACAGATGGTACATAATCCCAGCACTTGGGAGGCTGAGGCAGGAGGATTACTGTGCATTTGAGACCAGCCAGTGCTACACAGTGAGTTCAAGGCTGACCTGAACTTACATAATGAGGCCTAGTCTCAAAAAGTAAAAAGTAAAAGAATTCTATTACTGAGTTAAAAAAAAAAAAAAAAAAAAAAAGGATGGATGCCAAAGGGTTTTATTTATTCTGAAGTGAGAGACTGCCTCCCCCTCAAATAAGTGGTGGGGGGAAACAATACGTTTTCTTGGGTTAGATTTTTTATTACTAGAGATTTATGACTCTGTTTGCTAACTTTGTGGTCATGCTGGGGTTGTCACTTGAAATTATTTCTTTTCCAGCTCATTATAAAGTGCCTATATGACTGAATTCAACAATTCAGTGACGTAAATATGGATCCTAAATCTATAGGATTTTAAATCCCTGCACAACGATTGGTGACTACAGGGGAGATTCTCTCCCTTCCTGGGTGTGACAAGTTAATCCTGACTTCATTGGATTAAAAGATGCTTGGTAGATTACTATCCGCGTGAGTCCTAGACATGTGACCATGGGTACCATATTTGGTTCCTGGCTCCTCTTCTCCAGCACTGTTCCCCTGCTGTGCTTCCTGCAGGCCATGAACTCAGCAGCTGTCACAGTCTCCTTTATTGCAGGCGGCTGACCACCGACTGACACTGTGAGCCAATTAAACCTCTCCTCTACATTGCGGATGTTGGCTGTTGTGTCCAGTCACCGGAAAACTGACTAAAATGTAGCAACCATTAAGGATCTCTTAAGATCTCTAACCCTAAAACTCCTGCAGCAGAGGGCTCTAGCCTGATGACTTTATTGCAAAGGCCCTACCACTAAACACCAAAGTCAGATTAAGTTTCTATACTCTTAATGGGGATTAAAATTTAATCCCAATGGGGATTAAAATTTAACGCAGAAGTCCTGGGAGAACTCACTCAAGCCATAACCCAACACCTTCTTCCACCTCCCTTTTCCTGTTAATCTGGGACAGGTATTCATCTAAACCATGATTTTCTTGCATCTCAATAAATACAATGAAATCAATATTTTAGTCCCATAAAAAGCCCACAAAGTTAGACAAGAAAGCAAGCATCCCAGGTACTTAGGAGGCTGACCATTTGAGCAGAAAACTTTGGAGCCAACCTGAGTAAGAGGGAATGCACTCTTTCTTTAAAAAAAAGAAAGCCTGGATCCAGGGAAGTAGATAAACAGGCTCCACCAGGTTTTTTTTTTAACATGTCAGCAGTTTCATACAGTTCAAACCAATACCATAAGTGGAAAAAAAAAAGTCACTCTTCCTACAATGCCTGCTTCAGGGTTATTGCCCTGTGGTTTCCAGGAAACTAAAACAAAACTTTGAGAGCCAGACAGAGCAGGGTTTAAATTATAGCTTCATTCCCTTCTTATCAGTGTGACCTCAGGTAATTGGTATTAACTAAGCCTGGGTCTCCTTGAAAATGAAATTCAAATAATACTAAATATCAAGAGGCAGGCGCTTTGCAGGACCAGTATAAAAACTGGAGAGGAAGCATATTTGCAGGTAGAGGGAGAGCCATCTGGAAATGGATACCATACCTTGATTGATTGGTCCTACCTATATCCGAATGGGCCTTACCAAGGGCTGTGATCTTCTGTTAGATTCCAACTGGTATCACCTGTATTTCCTCTGCCTTCATGTGAGTCAAGACTAAAAGACCAGAGGACTAACACCTCCCCACCATAAGCAGCCCTCAGCCAGTAACTATGAGGAAATGATATCTGTGTACCTGAATTAGCACTTTCCTATAACTGAGGCTCACGGTTCCCAGTGGGTTCAGTCTAAAGTCAAGTGGCTGAAAGGGAGAAACTGCAGAGTAAAAGGGGGTGGAAGAGGGCAGCTTCTCATTCCATGTCCATCAGGAAACAGAGACAGAAGGGGAAAGCTAAGGATGAGGCCACAACCCTCACAGCTCCACCAAGTGACCCATCTGCACTGCAGCTACACTGCACATGCAGTACTGAACTCATCATGGATAAATCCGCTGGCACACTCCACACCCCATGAGTTGGTCATCTTCCAAAAGGTCTCCCTCTGAACACACGAGACTCTGGGGGGACATTTAGACATGAGTCATGACAATACCTCATCTCTTTCTCCCCTTAAGGGAGATAATGCTAAGGTCCATCACCTCCCAGAGCTTCGCAGGGAAGCCAAGTTCCAGGACACACAGTACCATCTCTGTTGATGACACAGCTAACAACGCTCTGAGTAACTCCCCCAGCTCATTTCCCCCACCTAGTGAGTCTTTCAAGGGGAAATCTCTCAGATAAACTGCTTTCACTCACATCTTTTTCTTGGGTCTGCTTCTGGGGAATCTCAAACTTCTAGAAATGTGCCCCATAAATTATCTTTAACACATATGCAAAAAACAACATATATCAAATTTATTTTTTGGCATCGTTTGTAATAGTGAGAGATTGAAAATAATACATCCAAAGAAGACTGGCTAAATATGTAATGACACACTCATGCAATAAAATGCTATACACATATGTAAAAGAGAAAAGTAATTTGTGTCCTGATGTGAAATATTCTGTGCTGTACTAATGAAAAAAGCAAGATTAGAACAGTATAAATATGCTATTATTTGTATAAAGTCTGTGTGTGTGTGTGTGTGTGTGTGTGTGTGTGCATGTGTGTGTGTTTGCATGTATCTAGAATCTTTCTGAAAGAGATACAAGAATACACAGCTTGGCTGCCCTGCGACAGGGGCTGTGAGAGCTGGGAAGAGTTTCCATTATGCAACCTGACTGGCTTTTGCTTTTCACACTATGGACAGGCTTATCCATACAAAAATAAAAGTAAAAGATGAACAGGAAAAGGGAGATTTATTATTTCTCCTTGGAATTTTTATTGGCCCATGGCATCTGGTATGGGCTGGTTTTGCACAAGCTCAACTCCTCCAGGATCCTGGTGACGCAGGTTCCCTCATGCCTGCACACTCGCCCACAGGCTGTCTCACTTCCTCCACCTACGAGAGAGCTGCTTTCCTCTCCCTTTATGTTCCATCGCTACTTCCGGAGGAAGACCCAGAAGCATCTTCCCCCTATTTACAGGCGTCCAAGAGACTGTGCTAAGGCACTCTTCCCACATGCAACAGATAGCAGTCACACACAGAAGTACACACACGAACACACACACACACAAACACACACAAATGGAAACTTCTGCAGGCCTTTCCTGCCACAGCCTCCTAGAAGACACGTCTGTCCAACAGCCTGGGGCCTGCTCATTGCTCTGATGAAGCTCTGTTGGCTCTCAGAGGCCTCTCCGTGGAGAAGGGGCTGTTACTGGGGTGGTGGCTCCTGGGGACCAGCTTCAGTCATCATATCTTTGTACTGCCGTTTGAAGAAGCCAAGCTGAGGGACAGAAACAAAAGTGTACGGGACACTGAGCCAGGGGAGCAACTGAAGGTCTTGCAGAACGGGAGGGGAAGGGCCCCAAAAAGCAGAAACCAATGGGGGATAGCATGGCAGGGATCCAAGGCAAGTGACATAGGCAGGGAATCAGACCAACACTGGGTCCAAGAAGGTAACATAAAATATAACAAGAAGAATGTCTCCCGCTGGGCATGGTGGCATATGACTTGTAATTCCAGCGCTCAGGAAGCTGAAGCAGGAGAATTGCAAGAGTTTGAGGCCAGCCTGGGCTACATAGTTCAAGACGAGCCTGAATTGCACAGCAAGACCCTGTCTCAAAAAAAAAAATCTCCTTGTGCTGTGGCTCATCATCCAGGGGTCTTCTAGTTGCTGTACACATATTAACCCCATTTCCTTCCCCAAACGGGCATTGGTGTTACTGAAAAAAACGAGGCAGTGAGAGGCTCTGACCTGCTCAAGGCCACAAAGCCAGCAGCAACACGGGAGCTGAACGCACTAACAGAGCTGAGGCATGAGAAAGGGGAAGGGCAGGAAGAGGGCCAGGCAAGGACACCTTGTACAACCCCACGGTGATGAGGGCCAGGAGCACCAGTCCCCCGATGGAACTCCCCACAATGAGTGGAAGAGGGTTGTGAACTTCATATAACTCCACCTTGGTCTCCGTCTGAGAGAGGAAGAGGAGAAAAAACATGCATCAGACAGATTCCAGAGTTCTGGAGCTTTCACCAGTCAGGCCTGTACATTCTCTGACCCCAAAGCCTTCACCTTCTGTATGACCCCAGTACCCAGACTTCTTCCTCCCCATCTGTTTCTCTCCCCCTCTTCCCAGCTCCAAGGATGATCTTCACAAGCCCAGCTTCTTCTCCACCCTCCCGCAGGCCCTCTGTGCTTGAGACAGCTACCTGGGACCTCACAAACATTCCCTGTCCTGGGAGCAAGGCAAACACAGAGTCGTTAAACAAGATCTCCGCAGTGCTCACAACCAAGATGTGGTTACTTGATGTCTGTGGAAGAGAACAGAGTATTGGTCAGGCCAGGAGCCCTGGGGTAACACAACAGTGCCTGCCCCATGAGGCCCTGGGGTCTCGCAGACCTGGATATACCAGTTGAATGAGAGATTGCCATGGAGAGTGACATTGAATTCTTCCTGGATGTTGAAGTATGGGATGTCACATGCAATTCTCTGGCAGACAGCAATGGAGCAGTTCTGGGGCAGGGAGGAGAGGAGGGACAGAGCTGAGGAAATGAATGTGGAGACACATCTGCCTCTCAGCCCTCTGGGTCAGGAGGTCATACTGGATTCAACAAGAGGGCTGCAACGGCACTGCGTAAGGAATTAGGCTGCTTCTCACCAACACGTGGGTCTTCTCAAGCTCAGCCAGGAAATCAGAGTGAGGAGGTGATCTTTCCTCAGTGTTGCAGGCACTCGAGAGATTCTGAGGAAAGAGACACAGTCAGTGAGGAGAGGGAAATAAATGAAAGGTTCCTGGCCCATTCTCAGAGTCTAGGAAAGGCTCAGAAGAGTTTCCAAAGTTCAGTACAGGAAATTGATATTTCAGGAAAGATTGGGACTCTTGGGGAGGATTTGGCCCACCCCTCAGACCCAGCTGAACTCACAGGGGAGAAGGTGACCTGAGGGCGGTCCCATACAATCTCATTGTTCAGACGCACAGGAACCCAGAAGACCACGCTGATGGGGAGGCTCCTCTTGCCCAGGTTGGTGAACTAGACCAGGAAAGGGTAGGGTCAGGGCTTCAGTGGCACTGCCCCGTGAGCTGCAGGACTTGGCTTGCCCAATCCCTAAAGCCCAGGACACCTGGAGAAGAGCCAAGTCCCCCAACCCTTGCTGAAAGGCAGGAGAGTGTAACCATTCAACACACACGAGAGCCAGCCAGGCTGGCCTTGTATCCTAGCTTTTGCACTTACTAGCTGTGAGTACTTGGACATGCTCTGTTAACCTCTCTAAGCCTCACTGTATCCATCTGTAAACCAAGGAGAGCGACAGTGCCTTCCAGGAGGGTGACAAAAACAAGATGAGCACTCTGTGTTTGAGTGAGATAACAGCCCCCTCCTCCTCTCCTTCCCTCACACAGCAGGCACCATTCACTGATTTTCTGTGTCCTCACACCAGTTTCCCTTTGCTCCCTACCTTATATTGGTGCTTCATGGTCTGAATGGTTTTCTCTGAAGTTGTGAAGTTCAGATATGTGGTAGAGGCCTCACCACTAAAGAGAAGACAGGAGGTGATAGGAGACATCTCAGGCTGTGTGTGAAGAGCACACAGGCTCCTAGTACTGCGGCCTTAGGGCGAGGAGGCATGCAGCGGGTAAGGCAGGTTGGACACAGTATGTGCCAGTTTGGGCCACTTACACACATACACAACACATACATATGCATGTAGATCCTCACGTACACATGCACACACACAAGTACAGGCACAGACTCACAAATATAGGAGTGTAGCAGCTGTTGGCCCAGCTACAGGCCTGGGGCCAGTACCTTGTGACTATTAAGTAGACAGCATATTTCACAGGCAGCTCCAGCTGGAATTCAGTTTTCTTAGTCCTGGGCATATTGTTCTCACTGAAAGGAAAGAGATCCTAGCCAGCCCTTGGGAACTGGGAATCAGCTTTTCCTCCTTCTCCCTCCGTCACCCACTACTTCCAGTCAGTCACCAAGTCCTGTTCTCTAACTCCTCATCCCTACATGGCCCAGATCCAGCTCTGCTCACACTGATGGCTACAGCAATTTCCCAGCTGGCCTTCTGACTTCAACACTGCTGCACCTCAACTTCCAGCCGTCATGGTTTAGATGGGAATATCCCCCTCAAAGCCTTCAGTGTTCAGAGGTGGGAGCTGTGGGAGGTGATTGGATCATGGGGGTGCTGTGCTCATGGCTGGACTCATCCACTGTTGAGTTCAGAGCTCAATCCACCGTTAGGAGGTGGAGCCTGGTTGGAGGTGGACTGGGGCGTGGCCTAGAAGGGTGTACCACCACCACCATCACCACCCCGTGTCAGTGCCTCTCTTTTCTGTCTGCCTCCTGCCTGAAGCTTTCTCTATGGCAGGCCCTTCCACCAAGCTGTCTCTGCATTTGAGTCTTCCAGCCATGGACTGAAACTAAGCCAAAATAAACTTCTCCTTCTTTAAGTTGCAGGTAACAGGTATTTTGTCCCAGAAATAAGCAAGTGACTGACTCCAGCCTTCGTGGAGAATGAGCTAACACACAAATATAATCGTATCACTCCTATGAGTTAAATGCAAATCTCCTAACACTGCTCATTAGTCACTTTGTGACGTGGCCCCTATCTGACCACCAACCCGGATGCTGCCCCATGTGCTTGGCCACTCTTAAACACACCCTGATCTTTCGAGGCTCCAGACCTTACCTGGTCCATCTTTCCTTCTTTCTGTCTTCATGTATTTTCTTCACAAATGTTCCTAAGAACACCGCACACCCTCCCCATTTAATCCTTCATTTTGTACTGTATTATAATCACCTTTTCTGGTCTGCCTGTGCCACCAAATTATACACTCTGTGAGGAAAGCAACCACAGCTGCCTTAACCACTGCTGTCCCACCCTTGCTCAGTACAGTGCCTGGCACCTGGTATGTCTCATATCTATTCGGTGAATGAATGAATGAATGAATGAATGAATGAATGATCTGAACAGAAAATTAGTAGGGAGAAAGTTTGCCCTGGAAAAAGACCTCAGAAATGAGGAATCAGTGTACCTGGTCACATTAGCCTTGAGGAGTAGTTTGTTTCCGAGGGAAGCCTTAAAGTCCACATCAAATGTGATAATAGAAGTGACCTGGAATTGGAGACATGCGTTAAGGTAATAAAAACAGGAGAGAAGAAACAATACAAATGTTCATCAACTGAGAATGGACGATAAAATCCCATCAATACACACCGCAGGATATTATTCAGCAATAAAAGGGAATGAGATACTCATCAGTGAATGATCCTTGAAAATATGCTAACTGGAAGAAGCTAGTCACAAAGGACTGCATACTGTATGTTTTCATTTACCTAGAAATGCCTAAAATATGAAATGCCTATAGAATATGGAAAATCTCTAGAGGCAAAGTAAATTAGTACTGATCAGAATCTGGGGAAGTGGTAATTGGGGGCCAATAATAAGACCTCGAAAATGTATCACTCTGAGTACACTGAAAGCCACTGAATCGTGCATTTTAAATGGATGAGTCTATGGTTTATATGAGGCATATTGCAATAAAGCTGCTTTATAAGAAAAAACAGGGTGCCCCCACTTTTAAGAAAAGAGCAAGAAGGGAAAAAGCAAAAGAGGAGGAGAGGAAAAAGGGGAGGATTGCTAACGAAGACAAAAAAGAAGAGAGGGGGAAACCAGTGGCTGTGACCTCAGAGTTGTCTGGAAAGATGGGGTGGTTTATGCTGCAGCTGATGCTCCTCAAAGTTCCAAGTCGCTCAGTGGAGGAATCAGACAAACAGTACACGGACCAACTTCGCCATGAGTGCTGACTCTGGGAGGCAAATGTGATGTTATCAAGCCCAGCCATGGAGAAATGGGAACTAAGGGGCAGAGAGGCCAGAAAAGGATTTGCCTACCTGGATTGCTGACGCTTTCCGATAGGACAAGCCTGCTGGGAAGTAGAGGGCGGCCTTAGTCCCATAGGAGTCCTCACCCTGGTTCCTCACAGTCAGCAGAACGTTGAATTCCTGGGAGTCGCCCACTACCAGGGTATGCAGGCTGTGGGAACAATGAGACAGCAACAGTGAGGCTCCCAGGGCTGCCCTGGCGCAAGTGTGTCCTGGTGGAAAGGGGACACAGGCACTGCAAAGAAAGACAACAGATGGATGCAGTGCACAGTGCCTCTGAAGAAATTGCTCTGTACAGGTTCCCTCGGCCAGAAGAACCAGCCACCACATCATGGAGCGACGTGAAGTCGTGATGAGGAAAAGCAACTCACTTGCTAACATTGAAGCTGATGCTGAGGTCATCCTGGCAAATGCTGTCATTGCCACAATTCTTCTCAAAGGGAAACTGAGCATTAGGAATACGGCAGAAGAAAGGAAAAGAGATAACAAAATGAAACAATAAAATAAAATATTGAAATACAAGCTTTAGCTGTTAGTCTCCTGTCTTTTCCATCCCCCAGCAAGGGCACAACTCCAGGACTCACCGAGGCTGTGAAAAATTTCTGGGCATCTTCAGCCAGAACTGGCCGAAGGTTCCCAAAGGAAAACATAGGTGTCCCCACCAGAGTGTAGTTGAGGCGCAGGGCAATGGGGGTCACTGAGTCATCCACACATTTCTGCGACAGACCATGTGTTAGGGGATCTGCTCGTCTCCACCTCCCGAGCCCACCTCACTCTTGAGCCAGGATCTGGCCATTCGCCTGCTCACCAGTAACAGCAGGGTCAGAGTCTCACATTTCTGTGTCAGTCCCAAGTTCTGCTTCTCTCTGTATGTATTATTCTTGGTCTTATCAAAGACGGCACGGATACTTGAGCGGCCAGAGTCCAGAGACAGGACATAAGAGATGTCAGCCCGCACATCTCCTGAAGGGACAACAGGGAGGTGAGGAGCCTGGGCTGTGTAGTCAGGCACGAGGACTTTGAGGCCTGGGTCTTCTGCACCCCAACTGTCAGATTCAGGGCATCTGACCTGAGCTCTTGGAGCCTCGTTTCTTTATTTTCAAGGTGAGGATAATAAATATGCCTTTCCAGCAGTGAAAACTAAATAGCACCCATAAAGTGCTTAAAATGGTAGTTATTCTGTGACATACTAAAAATTAATTGTATTTTTGACTATAATGTACTTCTGTACGATTTCCTCTTTATTTATCCTGCTTTGATTTGATAAAGAATTTTGATGTCTTTCTTCAGTTTTAGAAAACTCTTAACCACTATTTGCTGCTTCATTCTCTGTCACTCTCCCTCTGAAGTTCCAGTTACGTTTATTTCACCTTTCACCATATCCCACACCTCTTTTATGATTTGTCTGTGCTCTTTATCCTTCTTTCTCTGTGTGTATTATTCTGGATAGTTCCAATGAATTTATCTTCCAGTTCAATAATTCTCTGTTCTAATCTGCCATTAAATTTATTGAATTCTTAATTTCAGTCATTATATTTTTCATTGCTAGAATTTCCTCTTGACTTTTTGATTTCTAGGTCTTCACTCAAGTTCTCCATTCTTTCTTCTTTTTTCCCTTTTCAATGTATTAGTTGCATTTTTTAAAATTCCTAGTTGATCACTCTAATGTCAGAATCATCTATTGTCTGTTGTTTTCCTTGGTTGTTAGTCAGAATGACAAAGGTCTTTACCAAGTACCCTCTTAAACTTCTGATTCCTCCTCACTTATCTTCTGCTCAGAGTTTTAGCTTTAAAGGGGTTTTTACTGGGTTTTCTGAATTACTGACCTGAAACTTCATAGCTTATGAGTAAGTTTGAGGTTTTCAAGGTCCATTTGGGTCCAGTAGCCTTTTCTGCTAGTCGTTACTCTCCAAAGCTTTTTTTGTTTTGGGTTGTTTTGGTTTGTTTTGTTTTTAGACAGAATACAGTACAAGCTGGCCTTCAGCTCACTCTGTAACTCGGGCTGGCCTCAAATTCGTAGTGATCCTCCTACCTTTGCTGCTAAAAGTTTTCTTCTCTTTCTATCTGTATCCTCCCACCCCACGCATGAGTCTACTCTTTGAGAAACAGAAGAAAGGAAGAACTCAGGTTACTAGGTCACTCTTGATAAAATGCATATCTGAATACTTTATGAATTTGTGTTTAGCTTCATCAGTTCAATCTCCCCAAATAAGTTCCTGCTCCACTTAAAAAAAAATATGAACCTGATTTGTTCCCAAGGGTGGGGTCCCTAGTTGCTTGGCAAACTGAGAGAATAAGTAAATGCCATTTGTTCATGTCTCTGGTGAGGTTTGCTGGGTGTCCCCATCCAGCAGGTTAGCAGCCTGCTCGCTCCAGCCACACTTGGAGAAAGCTGTGGAGCACCTAGAATTTTCCTTTAGGTTTATAGAAGGTTGAGATATGAGTGAACCACCTCTCAAAGTCCACAATCATTTATTTATCCTTTTGAATCTTACCTCCCAAGTCTCACCTTCTCTTATCTGATCCCGTGTGCTCTTGCTGACACGGAGGCAAACTGTGACCTTTCCAGCTATCCTGTTTTTCACTTCCTTCTCCCGACATTCAAACACATCCCTTTCCACTTCCTTGGGTTTGAAAGTCATGGTTGCTTCTACCCTCAGCAATGGCTGGGATCTGTAGGAACAGCAGAGGACCATCCCAAGGCGTCAGGCAGCAAAGAAACTCCTTTAGGGAGAATAGTTGGTGTGCTGTTACAGGAATTCTTACCTGAGCAGAAGTGCATACCCCTGGGCCCCCACAGACAGGTCCATCAATCCATCCATTGTGAGGTCTTGGCCCCCGCTCAGGGACTGCCCAAAGTACTGGAGCCTGGGGGAGAGCTGGGAGCCTGTGATCCTCTGAGGACAGTACAGAGGAGAGAAAGGGAGGAGAAAAAAATAGAGAATTGTGTTATTAAGTCATACAGGGTGTCCCAAGTAGAGGTTCTCTGGGCTCAATTCAATTCTCATTGCCTACAACTCTTCAAGAAATTAGGGCAACTCTTACAAAGGGGTGATTTACCTGTAAACCATAACCTCAAGACAGTAACCCAAATTTCCATTAATTACCTAGGTTTCCTAGAGAAACAAGTTTTACAGGAAAGGAAATGATTTGGCTCAGCTGTATCCTACTTACATGGTCATAATAATGTAGACCCTGAATACGAATCCAACTAAACTTATCATACAAATATGAAGTATGTGAGAGGGAAGACAGAGAGTGTCTGTGCAGCAAGAGAGAGACTGTAAGACAGCACAGTCCTAATCTTCAACCATGAGAAAATGATGCTAAAACAAAGATCAAAAAGGAGCAAAATTTTCTTTGTCCACCCACCCATCAATGACCCTACATCTTGGTTCTTGACAATAGTACTGTAATTAATAGAGACAGGAAAGTCTCTCTGCTATAATGATTTAATTTCATTTGGGTATAAGCCCAGGAGTGAGATTTCTGGATTATAAAGTAGTCCTACAGTTCGCAATTTGAGGAACTCCATACTGACTCTCTTGACTTATAATCTTACGACAGTGCCTGAGTACCCCTTTCTCTGTATCCTCACCAACACCTGTCATATTTTACCTTTTTGATAACATCTATTGCAACCGGGGTAAGATGACATCTCTTTGTGGTTTTGATTCACATTCACTGGATGGTCAATAATATTTAGCATTTTTTCATTATTTGTTGGTCATTTTTATGAGAGATACCTACATAGACTATTTGGGAGTTTGTGTTTTGTTTTGTTTTGTTTTGTTTTGTTTTGTTTTGTTTTGTTTTGTTTTGTTTTGTTCTGTTTTTGGAGACAGGGTCTTACTATGTAGTCCCAACTGTCTTTGAACTCACTGTGTAGCCTAGGCTGGCCTCAAACTAAGTAATCCTCTTGCCTCAGCCTCCCGTGTGCTAAAATTACAGGCGTGTACCACCATGTAAGGCCGACATATGTTCATTTTAACTGATAGATATACACATGTGATGAACTATCACTTGGCCAAAAAAATAATTAAATCCTATCACTTGTGGCAATGTAAATGAAGCTGGAGACATCACATTAAGTAAATAAACACAGAAACAAAAATACCACATGTTTTGACTTTTAAAAAATGGTGACAGAAGAAAAGAGTTGAATAGTGGTCACTAGAAACTGAGAAAGAAATGGGGAAGGGAAACAGAGGAGTTAGATAGTGGATGCTGAGATTAAATTAGGTAAGCAAAATCAGTTCTAGTGTTCTTTAGCATCATATAGTAACTACAGCCTACAACAATTAATGATAATGATAAATGTTTGGGGAGATTGAAGTATTAATTACCTTAATAATTACATGCTGTATGTATCCAATTATCCTACCTCATGTTAATTATATAACAATTTAAAATAGTTTTTAAAGAAATTGTGGAAATAATCATGTTATTTGGACATAGAATAATTGAAGGAGCCTGAAAGTACCCTTCAAGGGGAAAATAAAGCAGAAATCATAGTGTCAGAGGAAGTTGTTTTACTGGATAACTTTAACTTTTCAAATTATGTGCAAGAATAACACTGAAAAAATAACAGTAAGTAATATATTTGTAAAACAATGTTTTATGAAGGCCAGGCATAGTGGCACCTGCCTGTAATCCTAGCACTTGGGAGGCTGAGGAAGGAGGATCATTATGAGCTCTCACAGTGAGTCCAAGACCAACCTGAACTACATAGCAAGACTGTCTACGTGATTTTGTTAAGTGATTTTGCTGCAAATGTAACACCAGTTAATTGTATACTTTACAAAATGGTTAAGACAGTAAATTTTATGTCATGTGTATTTTAATAAACCTTTCTTTACTAAAATGATCATTGGGTCAGGGTGTATAGCTCAGTGGTACAGCATGTGCTTGCCATGTGGAGGCACTGAGTTTAGCCCCAATGCCACAAAAGAGAAAATAATATGTTTTTCTACTAAAAGGAATGTTAGAGAGGCATGAGAAGGTTGAAATGTTTGATATATTAATCTAGGTGGCAGCCCAAGAGAGTGAAGGAGTAACCTACAGAATGGGAAAAAATTATTGCCACTTACGCTTTAGACAAAGCACTAATATCCAGAATACATAAAGAACTAAAAACAAATTAGACTTCAAATTTAAAGACCCAGTCAAACAAATTGACATCTGAAAAGAATAAGTATTTCTCAGATGAAGAAATATAAATGGCCAATAAATACCTGAAAAATGTTCAATATCATTGACTGTTATGGCTTGTGTCTCGATGTCCCCCCAAAGCCTCATGTGGTCCTAAGTGGGGGGGGGGCTTGAGAAGTGGCTGAATCTAGAGCGTGTGATGCCGGGGTTCAGGGTATCTGGTTACTAAATCAGTTCACTGATTGGTACAGCATAGTTCTGGGTGTGGATAACTAGAAGGCTCATCCTGGGTTTGAGTGGCCCCATCCAAAGGGCAAGAAACTTGGAAGGGACAAAAGGGACAGGCCAGCTGCTGATGCAGCTTCATTACTTTGCTACTTTACTGCTTTGCTGCCTTCTGCCTGCGATGAGCTGTGTCTCCTCTGCGATGTCCCTCTGCCACGCCACCCTGCTTGGAAGCAAGCCAGTTATGGACTGAAACCTCTACAAACCATGAGCCAAAAGAAACCTTTCATCCTTTAACTTTGGATGTCTCAGTGATAAGAAACATAACTAAGACATTGACCATTTGAGAAATGCAAATTTCCATCTCATTCCAGAAAGAATAGCTATCTTCAAGAAATCAAACAGTAACAAAGCTAAAGAGGCTAGTAAGGAGGAGGGTCCATTTGTTCAATGTTTGTGGGAGTGTAAACTGGTACAACCACTATGGAAATCAATATGGGGTCCTCAAAAAGCTAAAAATAGACATTCCATTTGACCCAGCTATTCCCTTCTAACGACATCATATGATAATGGTACACGCATACCCATGTTTATAGCAGCACAATTTACAAGTACTAAATCTTGGAAGCAACCTATATGTTAATCAGCACATGAATGAATAAAGAAAAGGTGATATCCATATACAAAAAGTACTACTCTGCCATAAAGCGGGATAAGATTGAGTCATTTGTAGGATAATGGCTCCACATTAAAGACCATAATGTTAAATGAAGTGAATCAGATTCACAAGTTTGAATATCACATGGTTTCTCTTATACACGAAACCCAATATATAAAGCGCAAAATAAAAGACAGACAAGGAAAAAAAGAGAAAAAAGTTACTGTAATTCAGCATGGTCAATACATCTGAAAGTGTACCTCAATTAGGTATAATTTTTTTATGTGTTTTACATGTTTTTTTGGCCAGTCTGGCAGTTAATCTGCATCTATGGTGATTAACTTGAAAAAGACTTATAAAAGAAATGAATAAATGTATATTACTCTGTGGGGAGGGAGTTTGGTTTGGTTTTTTGCTATATAGACTAAGCTGATCTTGAACTACCTATGTAACCCAGACTGCCCTTGAACTCACAGTGATCCTCCTGCTTCAAGATTACCAGATTACAACCCTTCACTGCTACTCAGCCAAGAATTTTGTTTTGAAATTGTGTATAATGTGGCTTGGGATCTACCTGTCGCAGCCTCTCAGAGTGCTAGGATTACAGGCATGCACAGTACAGCTAGGCACAGCTAGGCATGCCTAGTTGTACTGTGAGGATTTGGAGAACCACAGTAAGTTTGTTTATCTAAACACTGAGACTTCCAGTTTCACACAGAGGGGAAAAAGGAAATGAAAATGTAAGCAGCACAACCCCAAGATGCCAAGACCCTCTTTGTATTGGTTTCAGATCCTGAAGTCCGTGTGCATATGAAATACCCTTCCCTCAGCCCTCCTTTCCTTTGGAGGTGAGGTCCGATGGGGTGGACGAAGGGAACTAGGGCTTTCACTATTCATTTCAGACTTACAAATCTGTGAAAAGCAGGTGACTCTTTTATAACAAAAATTAAATAAAAACAAAGTCTTCGAACTCTGTTTATGATGAATCAGTGTGTGATTCAGGAAATGGAATCAATATGTCAAAGATATCTGCATTCCAAATATTCATTGCAGAATTATTTTCAATAGCCAAGATATGGAATCAACCTAAAGGTTCATCAACAGATAAATGGATAAAGGTGTTGAGTATGTATATATACAATCAAACATTGTTCATTCTAAAATGAAGGCAATTCTGTCACTTATGACAACATGAATGAACCTGGAGACCATTGTGTTAAACTAAGCAAGCCATTCACAGAAGAAAAATACTGCACTATCTTACATGTGAAATCTTAAGAGTTGAGCTTACAGACGTGAAGCATAGCAGAGTGATTATTAGATGCCTGAGGAAGGAGGTTTGAAGAATGGGAAGAAGTTGTTCAAAGGATAGATACACAGTTTTAGTTAGAAGAAATAATTTGAGAGGCTACATTACATATTATAGTAACCACAGTTAATGTATCGTATAGTTGAAATTGTTGAATTAATAAATTTTAAATGTACTCACTCTTAAAAATGTTAAGTGTTTGAGGTGACAGGTGTGTTAATTGCCTCTCGTGTATGTATGTGTATCAAAACATCACAGTACCGTTCCCTCAGGCACCACCCTAAGGCAGGACCTCCCTGGACTTAGGTCGGCATCGGGGCACCTGACTCTGTTCCTCTGAGGGGAGCCACAGAGTGACACATTCCCACACAATTAAACTGAGTAAGTTGAAGTGCTGAACGATGTCTTTGGAAAAATAAAGCCAGAGGTACATCTCTGGAAAACAAAACGTAGTTAAATAGATCCTCATACCAACTACGAACTCTCTTTAGTCTATTTGACTACTCTCAGTACAAAAAAAAAAGGAATGTGAAGAAAACGAAGGCAACAAAATGTCTTCAGAGACTCCCAACTCTCCCAAAGCAGACCCAAGGGACACCAACAGGAAACCAAACACCAGATGGCCAAGCTGCATGAAATGATTAATACATTCCCGCCAACTTGAACCACTACATGCATGACTGTCCCACCAGTGGCACAAACAGATCTAATCATTTTTATCAGTCTTTTTACTAATAAATTTTTTGTCTTTTTGAGGCAAGGTCTTGCCATGCAGTTCAGGCTGGCTTTGAATTCACTTTGTAGGCCAGTCTTGTCTTGAACTCGCAATGATCATCTTGCCTCAGTCTCCCAAGTGCTGAGATTACAGGCATGTGCCACCACACTTGGCTTTACTAATAAAATTAATAAAAACTCTATAAATAGGCCAAATCTAGTTAGTCATGTGAATGTGAATAATTACCACCCAAATATAAGTATTATTATTTATGCCAATTAAAAATTATAATAAACAAGTTTATTTCATTAAACTAAAAAACTTATATTAATAAATTTCTTTAAAGCATTTTGTACATACAGGTTGCTGATTTGTGCAATGTGCAAAATGTCCCAACACTGGCTTTTTTTGCAGCCACAGAGGTGCCCATTTCTTCAGGCAGTCAGGCACATCCTACCAGTACGTACACCAGCCCATTCAAGCCAAGAAAATCAAATTCAAATCAAAGCCACCCAGCAGGAAGACATACAAATTACAGCCATACTGTGAACATGTCATAGAGAAAGAAAAGAAATTCAGTGAGTTCAAAAAAGACATAACCCAAATCAAGGATAGTGGAACAATCATACAGAGTGACCTAATATGACTATGGGACAAACAAAGAATTCAAAGACATGACCAAAACAGTTTAAAACATGAAGGACAAATTTACCAAAGGTATAGACTCCATGAAATGTTGTTAAACAGATATTCCAGAGATGAAGAATTCTATAGAATTCATAAATAGAAGAAATGACCACTCTGAATAGGGTTTCAAAAATTGAGAAAATGGAAATACCTGAATCATTACTTAGAGAAGCCTTAAAATGATAAGAGCAGGAAAATGCATCTAACAGCTCCTAGAAGACACTAAGCCACCAACCTACCGCTAACCGGAATTAGAGAGAAATCAGAATATAGCACACGTAGAATAGAAACATCTGTTACAGAAATCATAGCAGAGAACTTAAAGAGAAAGAAAAGTGAGGCCAAAAAACAGCCATAGATCAGAGGCAAGAAGGCTGGCTGGCCTCAGTGAGCTGTAATGGAAGAGAATGTGGCACAGGTTGGGAAGACAGAAAAGTCAACCACATTCCATCGCTACAGAAAGAATTAGTTAATCTACAATTGCAATTCTTAAGATTTCTGTGAAGAGAGTATTATTTGTGAAGGTTCTGACCAGGATACTGGGAGAACAAATGTGGCAGCTGTAGGAATGTTGAATTTGGAAGGGATAGGTCAGCAAAGAGGTTACTGCCGTAACAAGGACGGTGACCTTACCTGGCTATGTGAGGAGCTGATGCTGACTATGGACATTCCATGGAAAAGATAGACGGCACCTCGGTTGTCCTCCTCTCCAGGGGCCCCGATGGCCACGTCTGTCAGCTTGTCCCCATTCACGTCCCCCAGCATTGTCAGGGCTGCCCCAAAGCGGCCCCAGGGATGGCCCTGCTCACCTTGGAGAAGAGCGTCACATTGCCACCGAGCCCTCTGTCAAACAAAACAGTGTCAGGCCCCCACACAGGCAAACGTTCCACTCACATCCAGAGCCCTCCACCCCAGGTCCCATCAGCACTCACCCCTTTGGGCAGGGGACACACGGACACCTGGCCCCCTCTATTTGACTGGTAGTAATGGGGGGCCCCAATGAGGACCAGGTCAGTGCTGCCATCTCTGTTCATATCCACAGAGCAGAGGGAGGCCCCAAAGTAGGAGCCAATCTGAAAGAGATGGACCAGGATCTCATATGCCTTCCTATCCAAAGCAGGATGGAGGGGTTTTCTTTCTGTGAAGAAAAACTTATGGCTGTTGAAGGAAACTTTTGGGGCAAGATGTATTTTTTAGATGATTCATTATAAATTCTTCTTTGAATGTGCTACAAGCTAGAGGATCATTATAATGGAGTCAGGTGGCAGTGGGCTGGGACTCACCCCAACAGAAAAACCTACAAGAGCAGACAGGATACCTTTCAAGATAATGAAAGTCTCAAGGGGAGGGTGGTCAAAGCTGGCAGTCTAAGAGAGCATTGACCAGTTGGATTAAAAATAACAACCTAGAAATTTTTTGTGTGATATTGAGAAATAATATCCATCAGTATGAAACACTTTTTAAAATATAATTAGTGTCAATATGTAGAATTCTTCCATTGGATTCTTCTATTTAATTATCCATTAATTCATTCAACAAACAAGGGTTTGTTATTTGCCAAGCACAAGGCAGGGGAGAGAGCAGAGAGAGAAATGTGTGTGTATAGATAGATAGATAGATAGCAGTTTTCAACCTGGGGAAGCTCTCGGAAGGAAAGCTAGAGAGGACATCATGCCACTGTTCACAGCCTCTGCCCCGTACATCACTGAGGGGAGACTAACTGTTTAAACCCACCTAATAGCACTTAGGTTTCATACTAAAGTCAATAGAATTTCTATTGTTTTCAGGTCATGTTTATTAAGTTGAATTTTACATATAAATTCAGCCTTTTTAGCACATGGTTTTAGAGTTGTCACGACACAGAAAGTTATCCAGTCGTCACCACAGTCAAGTTGTAGAACAGCTTCATTTATTTCCAAAATGTTCCCTCACGCTCATCAGAGCCAGCCTGTCCCAGAATCACTAGTCCCTAGTAATCACTAATCTACCTGCTGTCCCAACAACTTTGCTTTTTCCAGAATGCTATATGAATGGAATTTTATAGCATGTATCCTTTTGGAACTGGCTTCTTCCACTTAAGTAATGCATTCAAGATTCATCCATGCTGTTGCACGGACTGGTGTCCAATGTGAGTATTCCGTTATACAAACGAACCATTGTCTGTTTATGCACTCCCTATTTGGAGGTAATCTGGGTTGTTTGTTGTTAGAAACAGAGCCATCACAAAAAGACCTGGAATTATTTCAACATTTAAAAAATTCACGTGGCTGGGGCTGGGGATTTAGCTCAGTGGTGTAAGCACCTGCCTTGCAAGCAGGCAGTCGAGTTCGATCCCTGGTACCGGTAAAAATGAAAAAGACAAAAAAAAAAAATTCATGTGGCTATATTAGTTATACACTGGTTGAATACTAATTCTGGATACAGGTAGAATTTTAGAGAACTCAATACAGATCAAACATAGCTATTTATTGTTGTTTAAAAGGTTGACGACACAGCATCCTCAAATCCAAATCTGACCCCCTGAGCCTGCTGCTTAAATCCTGTGAAGGCTCCTCGAGGCCGCTGCAACACACATGGCATCGGGAGTCTGTCCTGGAGTCTCTCGGCCCCCAGTGCCCAGCTCACGCATGCCGCACATTCTCTGCTCTTACCTGGCTGCCCTGGATATTGGCACTGCTCTCCCAGGCACCAAAATTCTCTTTGAACATCACCACCAGGCCAGTGTGCTGATACCGAGGTGCCCCCAGAACCAGGTTTTGCCCCCAGTTCTTCATGATGACTGCAGCAGCATAACCTAAAAATGAGATCTGAGTGCCAAGGGCTTCCCTCATGGACCCCATCTCCCTTTCTACCATTCAGCCTTCAGTAGGGGCAATGGGGCACCCATTGCTATGGTAACTGAAACTTGCAGTATATTTCTCTTTGTGAACATTTATTTTCCTCAATGTTTGGAATTGAACCTAGTCCTCTTTTTTGTTTTTCACTTTGAGACCAATGTTGTTGTTATTGTTGTTTTGAACCAGAGATTGAACTCATGACCTCACACTTGCCAAGCATGCACCTAAAGCCACTGAGCTAAATCCCCAGCCCGAGACCAAGTTTTGCTAAGTAGCTAAGTTGCCCCAGCCTGTCTTCCTGTCTCAGCCTTCCAAAATGCTGGGATTACAGGTATTTGTACCACACCTGACTTATTAAATTCAATTTTGAAATTTCTGTCTTTAAGCTGTCCCGCAGAAAGAGTCAGCAGGATCCGTACTAATCAAGTATACTACACACTTACTCCTTAGAGGAGAACATAACTTTCTCAACTTACCCAAGTAAGCATCGTTCATATCTGAATTCACTCTGGTTTTGTTGATGAAGGTGGCTTTTCCATTTGACATATACAGAAAGGCTCCCCCAGCCCAGTCAAAGCTGCCCACAGAGCCCAGCAAGGGGCCTTTCTGGGAAAAGGAATTGAACAGAATTATGAAGAAAAAGAGACCACAGCTACCCACCAAAGAGGAACCTCCTCCCCAACCCCAGAAGCTGTCACAAAGAGTCCCCTAACCATTGCACCTCCTCTTTGGCTTCTTTTTGTCCCACATTCACCCTAAGCCAATGAAGGGCTACTTACAGACGTAAGAGCTGCACTGAAACCTTCCTGAGACATTTCATGCTCAAAGGAGCTGGTACTTCCTGTCTGAGTACCTGGGAGGAGGAGAAATTGCTAACATTAAAGAAAGCAGTGCTCAGAAAGGAGGCTCAGGTGGGCGCTGTGGTGTTCCAGAACTGCAGCCATGCTACTGTGGCATCTTGATGTCAAATGAGTGGACCTTAAGATGTCTAATCTTCCAGCTTTTCAACAGAAGACATAAATACCAACTGAACATGAAATTCCCCAATTTCTAAATTCTTTCATTGAGTAACCATTTATCCAAGCCAGGTATGGTGGCAGACATCTGTAATGCCAGCTATGTGGGAGACTGAGACACGCAAACTGCAAATTTGAGGCTAGTCTGGGGAATTTTGAAACTTAATAAAACCCAGTTCTCAAAAAAATAAAAAGGGATGGGGTTTTAGTTCAGCACCAAGGCCCTGAGTTCAAGCTCCAGGTCCCCAAGATTACGTATAGATAGTTTCTGCCAAAAAAATGTATACACATTTGCGGGGGGGGACTTGCATAATTATTTTAATACTTTTATGGAGAACCCTAAAGAATGCATATGCCACAGAAAACTCATTATTACACTGCCAGCCTTAGAGAAGAAATTCAAAATGTACATGCAGCAATCTTAGAGACCAACCTACAATTCATCATACTAGTAAATGTCTGGGAGCTAATGGTCACCAACTGAGCTGTCTCAATAAGTTTAGTATTAAGATAGGTACAAATTTTTCTTTTCCTGAAGTATATATATATATATATATATATATATATGCGAGAGAGAGAGAGAGAGAGAGAGAGAGAGAGAGTGTGTGTGTCTCATTCTATAGTTCAGGCTGGCCTTTTATTCATGGTGATCTTCCTGCCTCAGCCTACTGAGTGCTGTGATTATGGGCATGCTACCACAGCTGGCTATATATATTTCTTGGTAGAATAAATTTTTTTAAAAATTTATTGATCACTTTCTGTGTACCACTATTCTGAACAAACCAATGCTGACAACACATCTACATTTTGGACACACATCCCACACTGTGTGGGATTTGACTCCCCCACACTTCAAATTTTCAGCCTAGATTCTCTGATTTCAAAGGAATGGCTAAGTGAAGCCATTAGGTGACTAGAAGAGAGCCAATGTTGCAGTTCAGAATACCAAGGCTTAGAAGGGCCTAGTCAGTGTCTGAAGCTCCTCGGGAAACACCTATGCCCCCACTCACCCTCAATTGCAAAGATCTTTTCCTGAAGCTGATTCTGGATGGTCTTCAGAGCTTCAAAGTTATTCACCTGGAACACATGGTCACGAGCTGGTGCGGATGCAATGGTATTCAGTTCTTGGCGGTTTGTGTTGCTGGTGAAGGCATCTCCCACCTATTACCAAAGAATAAAGGACAAATCAGATATTACCTGGGAGTAACAATAGCATCTAGAAAAAAAATTCCTTAGGAAAATAATCTCATTTGACAAATGAGAAAATATATCAGACAACCCCTGAGACAAGGCTGACAAGTTGGGCAGGGAGCGCCAGGGACTTAAAATTCACTTTTGACCCCTTTGCTCTGTTCTGCCTCCTGGAAGGGGCTGACCTCCCTCCACAGGAAAGGGAGCATCTTCTACGTATATTAAGGTGTTGGGTTTTGTGTGTGAGTGTACCAAAATTCGAACTCAGGACCTTGCCCTTGCCAGGCAGGCACTTATGCTATTGAGCTATATCCCCAACCTATGATGGCATTTCTTACATGCCGAGCTATGAGTCATGAGGCTGCTTTGTTCTGTATCACGCAAGTGGCTATAGTAGTTTGTTTATACTGATGATCCTAACCCTTCACCTCTTCCTATATCCAATCCACACCCTTGCCCCAGAACTTTGCTGTGCCCTCCTATACTGGATGAAGTCACCTGCCCCACTCATTCTCTTGGGCTCAACCATGAATCTTGATTTAGCCCATGGATGTTATCAAATGTGACAGGCTTGAAAAGGCACCTACAGTGTTTCCATTTGCTCTCTTATTCCTCTGCCTTCATCATAAGAGTGTGCCAAGGCCAGCCCATTCGACAATGAAGCCCAAGAAGCAGAAAAGCCAAATCACCCCAGCTGTTTTAACCAAGGCCATCTGTCCAGCAGACAAACATACATGGCAACCCTCAAAAGTGGGGGGATCTTGGGGAAGATGAGAAGCTGTCCCCAAAAGTCTACTGCTGATTACAAATGTGACCCCAGCTGAGACAGGAAAACTATCCAATGAACCGATAAACTTACTTTTTTCATGCAATGCTGGGAAATGAACCAAGGGCCTTCACACTGAGCTACATTCCCAGCCTGTTCTATTTTTTATTTTTTTGAAACAGGATCACACTAAGTAGTAAGTTGCTCAGGCTGCGTTCAAACTCATGATCCTCCTGCCTCAGCCGCCCAGAGTGCTGAGATTACAGGCTTGCACCCACCAGGCCTGGCTTTCCTTACTGTTTTAAGCCACTAAATTTGGGATGATTCACTATACAGGATCACTGTGATGTCAGCTGAGTGATATGGGTGTGTGGGAACCAGCAGTAACCCTGACCTCACTTGGATTTTACCACTATTTGCAAAAAGAGGATGGGTGTATCCAACTAGAAACTCTCCACAGAAGCGTCAGGCCCAAAAGTCACATTTCCTACCCCAATAACATAGCGAATGACTCCTCGTCTGTTTGCCTCAGGGATGACATCCTCATAACTCAAAGGGTCACCATACTTCTCTCCATCTGTGATGACAACTAGGATCTTGATAGCATTCTCCCGGGCTCCGCTGTCACTCTGAAACAGTTCTCTTCTGTAAACGCAAGTAGGCAGAGATGCCATGAAAGCTAGGGAGGAAATGTCAGCAACATCACAGGTATAGACATAGCCAGGTCTGTTTCCCCCAAGACTTAGTGCTGAGATATGACTGCTCCCAAGAAATGGAAAGGCAGTAGAGGAGGGGAGAAGGGAGAAAAAGAAAAGCTTTCATGGACTTTATGCACCTTTGCATAGTTTACATCTTCAAGAAATAGACTTAATTGGGCTTTCATTGACTCTCTCCTGGAATGTACCACAGTACCTCTCTCCTCATCTTTCTGCACTGTATCCCAGCCCGACTTCACCTTGTAAACACACAATGAAATCAGGGTGAAATTTCCAAAACAAGATGTGATGTCTCCCCACAACTTAGAGTCATCCATCAATTCGCACTGCTACAGTGCTGCCTTTGGTGGTCTAGACTCAACTGATTTCCTGGCCCCTTCCCTCACATCCCCCCTTTATTTCTCCTTTTACTCCCAACTTGGTTTTTCATGCATTGTCCCTCCTTCAACACTTTGCTCGTGCTGTTCCCTCTCCTGGAAATATGCTTCACCCCAGCCCTTTCTGAACAACTCCCATTATCCTTCAAAGCCTACCTAAAACGTCTCCTCCCCTTTCCACCCTCAGCATAGGGGAAAGAACTTACATTACTTTGCGGATGCCTGTGGCAGTGTACGTCTGCCCAGTAAGCTGTCTTATTTGGTTTACCAGAAATCTTGGGTCAGGATTCTCCTTAAATCCATTGAAAGTGAAATGAGTCCGGAACTGATTCGAGTACTGCATCAAAGAGAACTGGGAACAGGGGACCTGACATCACAGTGGAGAAGGTGCCCCTCCTCCCCAGCAAGCCCTCCAGAAATCATGAAACACACCAATTTCCAGAATCCTTCTCTATAGCTTCCACTTCTTCTCAATTCTAGAACTCAGCAACAGAAGGCATGTGCTCATCTCGCATGCCAACCCCTACCAATTAGTCAGCACAGCCTGCTTTACCAGGGCTGAGAGGAGCCGGAGGCTGCATCCAAACAGCAAAGAACTGTGAAACAGCACAATCAAGGTGCAGTGTCTGTACTTGTGGTAGGAGAGAAAGTGGAGGTCCAGTTGCCATGCATTTCCCAGCTCACAGGGCCACTCCTCAATTTCCCCATTGGCCCTCACCAAGGTTTTAGACTTTTGAAATTGCTCCATCACAGTTGAGACAAACTCCTTCATCGTCTGAAAGTCATTTATGTTGATGCTCCCGGAGCCATCAATCAAGAAGGCAATGTCACTTTCCTGATGAGGACACCCTAGAGAAGAGAGGGGAAGAGTATACAGTCACTGAAGACTTGTTATACATTTGTTGCATGTCAGCTCTTGACTTCACAATGAGACTAGAAGGTGGACAAGAGTCCACCATGTGTCAAGCTAAATAAAAGCACAGATTTCTTGGACATCAGCAAGATGACTTGACCAGAAGCCCTTAGAGTTCACCCACCCCAAATGCAGCCTAACAAACAAGCTACTGTTATGGTTTGTGTTCAGATGGCCCCCACCAAACCTCATGCAACCATGGACACAGCTGAATCTAGCATTTGTGACTAATTCATTGTCTAGTGCTGGGATTGGTGGTGTGAGTGCTGCACCTGCCCAGATACAGAGATGACATACATTGTAAGGGAGGCAAAGAGGGCCGTGCTTTCCCCTTTTTTGCCCTTTTGCTTTTGCTGTTTGTGGCTGCCATGAACAATTGCCCCTCTAATTGGAACCAGTTGAATTGGAACCAGTTGAATATGGACTGAAACCTCTAAAACTGTAAGATAAATAAACCTTCCCTTGCTTCACTTCAGGCATCAGACATTTTGTCTCAGCAATGGCAGAAAGTAACCAAGACAACCACCAAATATGAGGTGTGACAAAGAATTATGGTGAATGCCTAATTTATAATATATTACAATAAAGACACATTGGGGACTGGGGATTTAACTTAGCGGCATAAGCACCTGCCTTGCAAGCAGGCAGTCATGAGTTCAATCCCCGGTACCGATAAAAAAGAAAAAGACACACAAAAAAAAATAAAGACACATTGCCATTAATCCCCCTCAAAATATTCCCTCTTGCCTCAAACATATTCATCCCATCATTCTTGCCACTTTCTGAAGCAAGTCTGGAAGTTCTCCTTCATGAGTATCTATAACTGCACTGCTATAATTGCATCAATATCCTTGAATTGATGCAAAATGTTTGTCTTCTGTGGTCATTTTGACTTTAGGGTAGAATCAGAAGTCATGTGGTGCCACATCTAGTGAATAAGGTGGATGAGAACACACCATTATATTTTTACGTGCCTACTTTTCTATTGGAAGACATTTGGAAGCAACATTCACCATGTTTTTTATCACACCTCCACAATTTTTTGGACCAGGCATCAAACTAATGACCTTGCACTTGCCAGGTGGGTGTTTGTACTGCTAAGCTAAATCCTCATCCCCCTTCACATCTTTTTAATTTTATTTTAAAGAGAATAAAACAAAACAAAGGAAACAGAATAAAGTCTATCAAAACTAAACAATGAAAGTGATACAGGACTTCAAAACAAGATAATAAGAAATCAATATTGGCACCATAATGCCTCATGTTATCTTCAAAATAGCTTACCATACCATCAAACATAATAAAATCAAACAAAACAGAACAGAATAAAACCAATCAAAAGCAAAACAATGAAAGTGATACAGGACTTCAAAGCAAGATAATAGGAAATCAATAATGGCTACTATAATATATCTAATTATCTTCAAAATAATTGCCCATGCTATCATACACAATAGAATTAAACAAAACAAAACAATGAAAACAACACAGTACTTCAAAACAAGTTAACAGGAAATTAACAATGGCTTCCCTTTTTAGATGTTTCCTCTCCTTCCACTTTCACAATGTCTATTGCACATTTTGGATTCCACTAATTCCTTCAGTTTTTTTATACTGGGGAGCCAACATAATGTTTACCTGTGTGAGTTCAAACCATTTCACCCAGGCTATCATCAACATGGTGCTGGTTATAGGTGTATGCAAGTCCCAAATAAGAGAGGGCTCAATAGACAATCAATTGATTTCTCAGAAGAAACTCTACAGGACAGAAGAGAATAGAATGAGGTATTCAAAATTCTGAGAGGGGAAACCTGGCAGCCAACAGTACTACACCTGGTAAAGCTGTACTTCAGAAATGAAAGAGAAGTGAAATCTTTCTCAGGCCAGCAAAATCATATATATCTATACCTGCCTTACCAGAAATGTTTAAGGGAGTTATTCTAAATAAAAAGATACTAATTGCTATCATGAGAATTCACTAGTAAAGGTAGCTGTTTAGTCAAATCCAGAAAACCCATATTGTTACAGCTCTCTATACATCACATATATCTCTGATATGAAGGTTAGCAGTCAAACAGTGAAAAATGCCAGTAACTTCAATATGCTTTAAGAAATAACATAAAATATGTAAATTGTGACACCAAAATACAAATCAGGGCAGAGTTTTAAAGTCTAAAATCACAGACTAGAGATGTAGCTCAGTGGTAGATCACTAGCTAGCATGCATCAGTCCCAACACTGCAAAGAAAAAAGTACAACTGAAGTTAAGGTGTTATTATTATAAGATATTGTATGCAAAGTATGTGGTAATGACAAAGCAAAAAACTGTAGTAGTGCATAAACAATAAAGAGAAAAGAATCAAAACACAACAGTAAATAAAATAACCAAATCACAAATATGAACAAAGGAAGAAAGAAATAAAAACTCTACAAAACACCCAGAAAACAAGTAAACAAATGACAATAATAACTCCTTATCTCTCAATAATTATTCTGAATGTAAATAGTAAACTCCAGTCAAAAAATGAAGTACTGAAGGAATTAAAAAACAGTACCCCACTGCACACTGTCTACAAGGGACCAGGTTTAGCCAGATGTAGGTACTTTCAAGTACTTACTTGCTATCAACTTTCAGTAAGTACTTGAAAGAAGATATTCCATGTATTTAAAGACAGCAAGTGTAGCTATACTTTACATCAGATAAAATAGACTTTGAGCTTAAAACTGTCATAAAAAAGACACATCAAGGCCATGAAGACTTTGCTTAGTAGCTTTCCACAACAGCCTACGCTGTGTTTCCCAGATGTAGTGTGTACTTTTATCTTTGCTCTTACCCTCTTTTTGTATTTACTTAACCCAAGCTCACTCTGAAGAGCCAGTGTCTCTCCCATTCTTCACCTTTACTTTCTCAAATAAACTTTGCCACTGCTTTTTGTTCATTTCATCCAATTCTTTGTTTGAGATAAGAAGAACCTGGAATCTAACTCCAGAAGGAGAGGCGAGCAACCCAAATCCTGTAATGGTTAGATGACAAGCCACCTTTTTTTAGAAACAAGCTACCTGTTAACACTATGATCTAAGATTCATCACAATGCCTATCAAAATACCAGTGACATTCTTCATACAAATAAAAAAATATGGAGCCAGCAATGGCCATGGGATAGGAAGAGAATCAAGAAATGAGACTGCCTTTCCCGTGAGGCAGTGGAAACGAAGGAGAGGGAAAAGAACCACAAAGTCAGCCTGCCCTTCCTGTGAGCTAGCCAGCATGTGGACCAGGAGACAAGAAGAACCACCCCATAGGCACTGGCTGATTCAGAGGAACACCGGCCGGGATGATAGCAACTGAGGTACAAAAACAACTTAATTCTTGTATTGGCTTGCAGGCCTGGGGCTGGTAGTCTGAGCACTTGTTTAGTGGATAACAATAGGTAACATAGAAACAGTGGGGGGTTTCCTTCCATCTTGTTTTTGAAATTCAATATGGTTCTGTTTCTTTTGTTCTGTTTTATTGTTTTATTCTGTTCCCTTCAAAATAGAAAAATACAATTCTAAGCAAGCCTAGTGGCACTTGCTTCTAATCCCAACTACTCAGAAGGAGAGATCACAAGTTCAAGGGTAGCCTGAGCCAAAGTGAGTTCCTCCAAAGAAACAAAATAACAAACATCATCATGTAAAATTATGTGGAACCTCTAAAGATCCCAAAGAGCTGAGGCAATCTTGAGGGGGAAAAAAAAAGGACAAAGCTGGAGGCATCAGACTCTCTGACTTCAGTATATACTATAAAATTGTAATTGACACAAACATAAAAACACTAGGTTTTATGCAGTGGCAGTATCATAGGCAATAAGGCTTATCCAAGGCCTGATTATTGCTTATTGAAAAACAGACTCATTAACTGATGAAACAAGGGCTGGGGATTTAGCTCAGCGGCATAAGCACCTGCCTTGCAAGCAGGCGGTCGTGAGTTCGATCCCTGGTACCGATAAAAAGAGAAAAAAAAAAGGACAAAAAAACTGATGAAACAAAACGGAGTCTCAAAATAAATGTATGTATTCAAAGCAAATTGATTTTTGACAAAAGTGCCAAAAGCATACAATGAGAATCATCACCCTCTTCAATAAGTCTTTGAGAAAATTAAATATCCACATACAGAAGGAAAACAGACCCATGTCTTACAGTATATACAAAAACTGACTCCAAATAGGCTCAAGACTTACATGCATGACCCAAAACTAAAAAACTGCTAGTAAAAAAATGGCTGACTCAAAATTATCAAACTAGTAATTTAAAAAAACCACATAGAAGAAATACATTATGGTCTTGATCTGGGTTAGAATTTTTTGTGCTAAGATATCAAAAGCACAGGAAACAAGTGCAAAAGTAGATAAATGAAATTACTTTAAACTAAGAAGCTTCTTACAATGAAGAATCAGCAGAGTTAAAAATAACCTACAAAGTGAGAGAAAATATTTGCAGACTATAACCCTGACAAGAAGTTAAAATCCAGATTATAAAAGGAACTCAAATAATTCAATGGCCAAAAAAGTAATTTGATTTACAAGTGGCCAAAAGTCAGGAGAACTGTGAGAAATAAACTATGCAGACACTGTTTATATTTTTTAAGTGAGCAAAAGACCTACAAATCACATTTACCCAAAGAAGATATACAAATAGTCAACAAATACATGAAAAATACACAGTATCATTAATCATCAGGGAAATTCAAACTAAAGCCACAATAGGACACTGCCTCTCCCCAGTTAAAATTGTTGTTATCAAGAAGATAAAAAAAATAGCTAACACTAGGCAAAATGTTGAGAGGGAGAAACTCTTATCCACTGTTGACTGAAGTGTAAATTAGCATAATCATCATGGGAAACAATACGAAAGTTCTTCAGAAACTAAACATAGAATACCATATGACACAGTCCTG